GACATCAGTCATCTTCGGCGCGACATCATCTCCTAGCACAGCGATCTACGTGAAGAACCGGAACGCGGCGGACTACAAGAAGCAGTACCCAGAGGGCAGCAGCAAGTTGAAAAGGCTCGACGTAGTGCTAGAAGAAGGTCTCCTGCGACTGAAAGGAAGAATCGACGCGATACGAGGGGTTACCAGAGACTACAAACGACCCATCGTACTCGACAGCAAGGACAAGACAACACTTCTCATCATAGAAGAATTTCACTGCCGCTTCAATCACGGGAATCACGCGACCGTAATGAACGAAGTAAGACAACGCTTCTGGGTGCTAGGACTGAGGTCAGCGATCAAGACCATTCAACATCAATGCCAGTGGTGCAAAACAAGAAAGGCAAGACCTCAAGAACTACCAGTGGGCAACTTACCTGCTGAGAGGCTGATGCACGGAAACCCTCCATTTACGTGCACGGGAATAGATTACTTCGGCCCTATGACGATCACCGTAGCAAGACGCCATGAGAAGAGATGGGGTGCTCTATTCACATGCTTAACAACACGAGCTGTACACATTGAGCTCACTCCTTCACTCTCCACTGACAGCATGATCATGGCACTACGACGATTCGCCGCGAGAAGGGGAATGCCAAAGATAATCTACACCGACAATGGCACTAACTTCGTTGGCGCCAACAAAGAACTCAAAGAAGCACTAGACACCATGAAGCAAGAAGACCTTATCTCGGAAGCGGAGAAGATCGGCGTGCAGTGGAAGTTCATACCTCCTGGTGCACCAAACATGGGAGGTGCATGGGAGCGTCTGGTGCGATCCATTAAAACCGCACTGGACGCCACGCTCAACGAAAGGCAACCACGAGAGGAGGTACTTCATACCCTCCTGTTAGAGGCCGAGCACATAGTCAACTCTCGGCCCTTCACCCACTTCTCCGAGAACCCTGAAGAAGAAGCACTTACACCGAACCACTTTCTCATCGGGCGATCATGTGGCGCAGCAAGAATCGGCAGCTTCGAGGACAACGAGCTTGTGGGCAGACACACCTGGAAGGCTACGCAGCGACTTGCCGATCGCTTCTGGCAACGTTGGCTGAGAGAGTATTTGCCCACTCTACTACCAAGGAAGACCAAAGGAAGAGTCAGCGCCACAGATTTGCAAGTCGGAGACATCGTACTGATCGTCGATCACAGCCTACCAAGATGCATCTGGCCACGCGGAAGAATCCTGCATGTGTATCCTGGACCAGACGGGCGGACCAGAGTCGTCGACGTCGAGACCAGAGGAGGTGTTCTACGGAGGCCCAGTTCGAGAGTGGTGCTGTTGGTGCCGGGAGCGTCGCCGAATCCAGGAGTTGGTGCAAAGCACGAGGGGGAGAATGTCGGCGACGGAAAACCTATCTTCGAGTAACGTGTGTATTAATATAGGGACAATGTCATTTTAGCGTATTATGAATAATTGTTGTAAATATGAAATCTCATTCTTATTAGATTTATTATGTTAAAATAAGTTCTAATTAGTGTAATAAGGTTAGTTTAGAGTATTTTTTGCTTATTTGAATCATATAAGACTATTTAACATTAATTTGAAAGGAATAGGTACGTAAGTAAAATGTTAGCATATAATTACGTAACTTGAAAATGAGATTTTTTGTTTCTTGCAATAGCATAATAGTTTATGTTTTAAATAATAGATTTTATTATAAAACTTATAATAAAACAAGAATTAGGTCGATAGGACTATCCGTTCAAAAGTTATAAGGGAAAATGTATAGTAAAATGTAGCAACCTAGAAATTTAGATATTTTTGTTTTAAGACTTTTTTAATTAATTATTATATATTGAATATTATGTTTTAATATTGTATAAAAGTATGTAAGGCATGTAAATAAATAAAAATGTGTAAGGTGTTTTACTGAAAACATAAAATAAAAGGACTCTCAAGGTTTCGGTTTAGGGAAATTTTACTCGAAAAATGATCTCAAAGTACGCGGCTCTCTGTAAGGTATTAACGGGCCAAATAAAAGGCGACCCATTTCTCGATTCGAGTCAGTCGCAAGACAGCCACCGAAGAGGCAACAACTAAAAGGAAAAGGAAGAACCGAAACCAAGAGAGAAAAAAGGAAAAATTGTGTTTTTATTTCATCGCCTCTAAGTATAGTCTCCTGTCAACGAAGAAACCCTAGTGGATCGGGACCCAAGCTACGCATTCAGGGGTGCGTGGTGGCGTACATTACCAGCGAACGGACATACTGCCGTGTACGCCAAGAACGTCTGGGAGATTGTCCCAGGTCGACCTCCGGGTACTAGACATACCCTGGTTCTGGTCGTCCGAAACAAGATGAATTTCGAAAAATGCTAAAATACGTATTTATTTAATTTTATTGAAGAGCATAAATACCAAGTTTCAAGTTATTCTGACCATAAATATTTTTTTGGATTCTATTATAACGTGTTTTCCCGTGGGAATTAGATAAACTCCCGCGGTAAAAAGTAGCCTATGTCCACTCTCCAGCCCTCCAACTATCTACACACAAAAAATCATGCCAATCGGTCACTTCGTTTTGGCGTGAAAGAAGGACAAACAAACAAACAAACACAATTGCACATTTATAATATTACTATGGATACGTGAAGCAAAAACTTTGTATCCCTTTTTAAGAAAATGACGCTTACAGAGGAATGTGAAATTTGACACAATTAATGTTTATATGGATATATAGTGTAGAAAGCTAATATTTTAATATAAAATACATTAGAAATACATTAAATTAATTAAAATAAACATTTTGTTTGGGAACCGACCTGTTTTATTAATAAAAAACATCAATAATAATCATGGTCGAAGTTCGACCACTCGGCGAACTTTAGTTATTTTAAATGTAAATACATAATATATTAATACACTAGCGACTTATCCTCACTTCGCTCGGGTGCGTCCCTATGTACGTTTTTTTTTAGCGGGACGCTAATTCTTTTTCTAAAATAAAAGTAGCCTAAGTTATTCCGTATAACATCAGCTATCTGTCATTGGAAGTCCCGTCAAAATCAGTCCAGCCGTTTTGCAGATTAGCCGAAACAAACAGACAGATAGAATTTTTAAAAATTGTGTGTTTTTTTTTATAAGTACCGTATATAATTTCATATGTATTTAGCAAAAAGCTGTTAATTTGACATTAAAAATAGACACTTCAATTTTATTTATCTGTGTAGATTGAGAAACTACTAACACAACCGAGAATATTCTGTTACGAAAATTTCAAAAATATAAGCTGATTAATAAGCAAGAGTTAAGTATTATGGTGATAGAGCTATTTTGATTTTGGTGCTTGCAAGTCACTTTAGAAACTTCTCGATTGTAAATAAAACCACAGATTCTACAGTCGGGAAATAAACGTAATTAGTGGGATGCATAGGAAACATCTAAACTAACGGCGAAGGATGCGATGGTAGAATTGTTGAAATCGTTATGATTCTATTAAATTAAAAAGTTATTCAGAACACTTTCTGTTATACCTACCAACGGTAGAAAACAAAGAGAGAGCCAACCACTTTCCGAAGACTTTGGCATTTCTCACTCACGGAATATTATCTTAATCGTCAATACGAACTATCTGCTGATGGCTAGAGACAAATGAAACAAGCTGATATTAGGGCTTCAGTTAAGAGATGCAATTCTTAATTAGAGGACGATTCTGGGCTTTATAAAGAAAAAGTCCGTATCCCGGCATGAAACACTCTCTTCCAGACAACACTTGAATTGAACGTCGATCGATTAATCTGACTCCTAAGATCTCGATGATATTTAAGATATTACCAACTACATTTTGGAATTTTGGAATTTGAACTTGAACCAAAAAATATATCGGATTACTATTATATATAAGAAAGCCGAAAGTTTAAAATGGGTGTGTGTATGTTTGTTGTGTTATTACCTACATATATGTAAAACATAAAAATCAATTTGGGTAATCAAGTTTGTAAATATTTTTTATAAGTTAATTATAAACACAAAAAAAAATTACTTGTGTTTAAAAGTTTAGTTTAAAATATAAACTTAAGCATCATTATGAAATTGTGTATTACAAAATGTGCTATCCATACCCCCCCGCTTTTGTTGTCGTTGTCGTCATTGACCTCGTTCACTTTCTCTTTTGCGCTAAAACGTGTTTATCCTTAGAAATATTTGTTTGTTATGAAAATATTTTAAGGAAACTGTTTATGCTCGAAAAAGCTGCTAAACTTGAAGCTTAAATATTAACACGCTTTTATTATTTTCATATTTGTAACATACCTAGCTAATAGCTGTAAACTGTTTTTTTACATATAAATTATTACAAAAGTACGTATGATATTTTAGTTTTCCTGCAATTCCTATAATAAATTTTATTACTTTAATTAAAATCTCCAGATAAATTTCTAAGAAATCTATTGTTAACTGTAACACCGGCGTGTCCGCGGTCTTGGAGGGATTAAAAAATCAAGGATTTGGTATTCCAATGAACTAGTATAATTACAAAACCAGTGGTTATTAAAGCATTAAGTCGGTTAGTCGGCGGGTCTCTCTGTTACCTCACAGAATGATGGTAGAGTCTAAACCTTGTGGTTTATCGATAATTTTGCTATGAGTAGGAAATATATTGTATATTAATTATTAAGAGCTTCCTAATAGGAATATTCCTACGAATGAATATGACAAATTGAGTACAAAGTAATTTTGGCATGGGTTTTGGATTGTGGGTTTGATTGAGTAAATATAAGAAAAATATATCAAAGTTGTCATACGGGATGTTGTACAACACTACGAGTTGCGTAGACTGAAATGTCGAAAGAAAGTGAACGAAGCGCTTCGACGCCAGTGCAGTACACACCGTCACGTCGGCGGAACCTATACTATTTTGGCACACATCTTTTATTATTTCGTGTCTACTGTGTTGATTTACTAAAAATGTTTTTTTTATTTTTATAACTGAAAAATAAATACTTATAATATATTAAAAATGGATTTGTTAAGTGAAGCAAGTAACGGTCAAAGAGTGCTTGTAGCGCGGCACATAAGCGCTGACCCACCACTCCAAGAAGTAAACAATGCGATTAATACAACCCTATTGTGCCATAGCTATAGCCTTCAACCAGACTTCACCTCATATTTAGCAGGTAATACTTTGAAATGTTATAGCTTTTAAATATTACGTGAAATGAGTCAAAAAACAAAACAACATTGTTTTACTGCATGTATAAATTATAATATAACCTAACAACTAATAAATGAATGTAAATAAACGAGTAAACACTAATTATTTTTAAATTTAATTGAGAGTACTTATGTATGTATGTATTTACTTCTATATCTTATTAGACTGCCTGTTTTTGGTAACGTATTGGGTTGCGTTTCGCAATGTGACTATCTTTTTATATGTTTTAAATTCTACAACTACACTTAGTTAAAGTAATTTAAATATATATAATTAGGCATTATTAAAGTGAAACGTCTATTTTACTGCTGCTGATATCGTAAAGTTGGTATTTTAAGAATTTTAACTATCTTGTTAGTTCTTGAGCTAAACAAAAACTTATATAATATCTGTATACTAAAATATAAAAGATCTAAATAAAAATATTACTATGTTATGATACTAAAAATATCAATTCATAATAAATTGAGTTTTGGAGGTCAGAAGGACCAAAAATAATTACTCGAGCTGGGGTCAACAAACAATGATCAAGAATGGCTAGAGAGTTTTTTGATATTTCGACGTATTCCGGATATATCATTTCCGGAAAAGCAGTAAAGGTCAACGTTTATAATATATAATATTTTAACGTTTATAATAATAATTTGTAAAGTGTCATTTAATGAATTATAGCATACGATTTATGGGACTAAGTAAGTACTTAAACACATTGTAATTATATAAAAATATCAAAAATTTCATTATAGTACTAATAGGTCTAAAGCTGTATGGAATTATAAAAAAGTTGTTTTCATTGAATTAAGATTGTTAACAATTTCTTAAAATCGGATAAATATTACTAAAATATTTTATTACTAATACGTATTATGTGTCCATGAAAACAAATTACCTGCATTGAACTTGATTTAATTATCTTAACAAACATTATGATGTGAAGCACCGTCGCAATACAACATCTGCTGTCTGCAAACATAGTCAGGACCGCCCAAGCCATTATATTCGCTTCGATAGACCTCAAATCCTGGCGAAAGAAAACCGATATCGCCCTAGAATGATTCGAGAAGCCATAGAAATTAAAAAACATCCTAATTTCAATAGGTAAGATGGCTGGGTACTACCATCGTCATGGGATCCTGTTATTAATATAATAAAAGCTAATAATAAATCTAAACATAACAGACAGGTAGATGTAGTAAGTTCTTACTGTGTAGATCAAAATGATAGCATTTCTGATTAATAATATTTTTTCACTTTTTCATTTGTAAATGTATGTAGTAATGTGTTGCTTAATAATTTGTTTTTTAAATAATAGCAAATTTAAATTAAAATTATTATTTTTAATTAATCTTAACTTTTTCAAATTACACATAGATCAATTGTGGCTTAAATAATTAATATATTATGATTTTTTCTTTATGGTTATAAATATAATAATGGCAACACTAAAAATGTAGATTAATAATTAATATTTTTTAAAATTGTAATAATTATAATAATAACAGCTCAAATTAAATAAATAATATTCTATATTCAATTATAAAGCTAATTAAAATTATATAAAAATGTTTAAAGTTAAAAGTTAAAATATTGTAAGGTACTTTAGTACCATTTTTCAATTTTTTGAATTCATTTTGTTAATTGTGGGTAGGCTGTCTGTAACAACTATATAATACCTTAGAGACGTTTAACACCTCAGTCTCTCCCATGACCATGATTGCTGTAAAGCATTCGAAGCGTCGGGAAACAAAAATACAAAAAAAAATAGTTTTATTTAAAATGATAAATTCTGCGCGCAATTCTGATAAATTGTATCATAATGTGCGTGAGCAACGTGAACGTCTTTAGTAGAATTTGTATTCTCTTATTTTATGAGTCCTAACTAGAACACTAATTCCCATTAATTAACTGTTGCTAGTATAACTTTTTTTGGATGTATCATTGTTAATATTTTTAATTATCCTCAATAGTTTTAATTAATCTTGCATGCTATTCTATCTTACTCATAAGATTGTGATATTATGTTGCTGACTGCTGTTATTTATGTTTTGTTCAACATGGAAGGCAAGATGCTCGTAATACAAGTTCACTTAGAACAAGTGTCTTAGTTTTGTATAAATTATTTTTTTGTATTTGGCAAAGGAATAAATAAATAAAATAGCTGGCTTTTCTATTCAGCCAATAGGATGTTGATATTCAGGGCCTTGCGGTGCTATGACGCAAAGAGGCGGCCGCCTCAGGCGGCACAAAGTAGGGGCGGCATTTGGACCTACAAATACCTCGGACTCATTCAATCATGCTCAACTCCTGTGAATTTTTTCGGAAGGAGAACCCCTTTTTATCGTAATTTGATAGAAGACAGTCTAGTAATTGACATGTTAAAGCTAAGTACATAACTTTTGGCAATAAAGCTCCAATGGCCTCTAAGTATAACTGAAAAAATCTACTGCATGGCCCTGTCGATATTTACAATGTTCTTGTAAGACGTTATGTTAGTAAATCAGTTTATGGTGTGTTTTATAAACTATTTAAGTACAATTTTCTCTAATTTATCTTAAAAAATAGACTGAGTATATGTATGTTATATTTGGAAATGTTATTAATACCAATCAAAGTTTTTTTTCCACATTAAATATGTCTTCACGACTTTATAACAATAAATTTCATTAAAAAATGTTAGTATATACTCAGTTATATTAACATTTTTTGCAAGAACAGATTTGTAATTTGCATAATTATCCTTGAATGAAAGGACGGAACGAACAAGCATTCCATTTTATTGAATATTATGAACAATAAACGTGTATTTTTTTATTTTTATTTTATTATATTTGTACTTGAAAGAGTTTAAAGAGATATTGTATCTTTATAAATCAATTGGCATCTACGAGTATTTGGCTAATTCTTTTTTTGTTGTTTTGTGTTTGTAATTGTCAGGACAATGAGTTAGTGAGTGAGACAGAAGACACTTGGGAGACCTTCATAAATATTGATTTGGTTGGTTGACGTTCAGTTCTTCAGTTTCATACATTGTTTTATCTGTTATATCCGAAAAAAAATAATATTTAAAATTATTTTAGAACTTTATATTATTAAATATATCTGTTATTTTTAAATATACCAGCGCCTGCAACTATTATGTGCAGTCCAACAACTATTACGTGATGATCTGTTATAATATAATGAAAACAATATTATTTAAACAAGAAATTGACAGTTTTGTCAAAATGTAAGATTAATTTATTTATAACTAGTGGACTCTAGGAAAACAAAACCAAACCTATCCCACGGGAATCGTACATTTTTCCGGGATAAAAAGTAGTCTTTGTTTTATTCCAGACTATAATCTATCTCTGTGCTAAATTTCATTCATCATTCAGCTGTTCTGGCGTGAAAGAGTAACAAACATCCATACTCACAAGCTTTCACATTTATAATATTAATACGGAAAATTAATACGGATATCAAGTGAAAATATTGAAAAATCAAAACAAGAAAACCTTAATTATTATAAAAATATGAATTGTATATGAAAAAAAGTGTTTACTATTCTTTAAAAGTATGTTTATTATTTATCTTTAGTAATGACTTATTTAGGTATGGAACAACTATGAACATTTTGTAACTTTAAGTTTCCATAACTTTTGACTTTATATATTTAGAATCCCTAATATTAAGTGTGTAATGTTGTAAATAAGACACATATTACAAACTCGACTTGATAACATATAAATTACATGAAAATTAAGACAGCAAATTTTTAAGTCCACGCGAGCGTAGCCACGGACAGGAAGCTATAACAAAATAAGAATGACACATTATAAATTATGTAACTTAAAAAATGAAGAAAGACTGTAAGTTTCAGATGTACATAACATTGGGTCTTTAAAAATAAGTTAGCCTGTTAGTTTGCTAGATTAGAAGTCCATATTAGCCGAGTTACATGATTCTAAAGTCGTAAACATTGCATGCGAGTTGTAGGTATCATTGTATTCTCTTCTTTTAACTTTGGAAAGATGGAGTAGAAAAATATGCAAATAGAAAATAGAGCTTGTGGAGCTTGCTAAATACTTTAAATGAAAATTAATTTACAGAATACATATACAATATACCATAAATATATTTTAAGTTACGATCGCTAAACTTAAATGTTTTCCATAATTTTTTTAAGAAATGATAATATGAAACACGAACTTATTTTTTGAAAATAAAAATGTGTGTATTGCGAAAACGTACGAAAATATTTTAGTGTATAAATATTAATATATATGTTAGTAATAACCACAGTCCACACAATATTCACGTTCATTTCATTCTCTATGCAGTCGAAATCATACTCACATTTGAAAATCACTACATCCCTCAAATTGTTAGTTGTAACTTGTAACAAAAAGCCAGAGTTATTTTTTTGTAATTTGAACGCGAGCGAAGCCGCGGTACTAGTTGTTTATAAAATTGGCAACACCGATTTGGAATTGGCATTTTAATCAATCAATCATGAAAAAAAGACAAACGTTTGTTTCGTTATTTTGACCAGTGTAAAACCATCTGCCCTGATGTTCGGTTATAATAAATATCGAAAATGTTCATACAGCAAATCAAATATATATAATGCAAAAATTAATGTGGATACTTATACGTACCTAGATGTTAAGATATTCGGTTTTCACATTCGAAATTATCATCCAATTTCCGTACTAGAGTAACATAAACACGAAAGTTTTTGAGGATGGATGTTTGTTATTTTTCTACACAATCAGTACTAAACACATTTTGATGAAATTTACCAGTAATAATATAGCTTTAATTAACCGACTTTAAAAAAGGAGGAGGTTCTCAATTCTTCGGAATCTTTTTTTTATGTAAGTTCACCGATTACTCGAAGACGCCTGAACCGATTTGGAAATTTTTTTTGTTTCAAAAGGTATACTTCCCAGGCGGTCTGAATTTTATTGGAATCGGTCCGAGCAGTTTTTTTTAAATCAACAACAAATATTTTTTTTAAATAAATTGTTTAATCGAATATGTTATTAAAAAACTTTCTTCTTACAAATTAACTGATGTCAGTGAACTTAGCAGATCATTGTCCAGCAGATCAAAAAAAAAAGTGAGTTCTATTCGCATGCACGTGAGTTCTATAGTTCCTGATACTTTTTAGAAATAGTTCTGGCGTTTTTACCTTAAAAAAAGTCAATTGACAAAATGATCTGCTAACTTCCCGTAGCAGATCATTTTGCAGAAAATCAAAAACAAATGTGAGTTCTTCGCGCAAGGAGCTGAGTTCTATAGTTCCTGATACTTTTCAGGAATAGTTCTGGACTCTCAGCCAAGTTCCAGCAGATCATATCCGAATTTTTGAAAAGTCAGAACATACCATTTTTATTGTTTCAAATTATTGTAAAAGGCTAGAACTCTTTCGCTTATCACCGATCTGTATCAGAACTCTAATATAGAACTCGATTCGAGTCCAGAACTCACGTCCAAGTGCCAGCAGAGCATACCAGAACGTTGGAAAATGTGAAAAAAAACTTTTTTTCATTGTTTTAAATTATTTAGAAAGGCTAGAAGTTAGAACTCTTTCGTTTATAACAGATCTGTACCAGAACTCTAATATAGAACTCGATTCGAGTCCAGAACTCACGTCCAAGTGCCAGCAGAGCATACCAGAACGTTGGAAAATGTGAAAAAAAAACTATTTTCATTGTTTGAAATTATTTAGAAAGGCTAGAAGTTAGAACTCTTTCGTTTATAACAGATCTGTACCAGAACTCTAATATAGAACTCGATTCGAGTCCAGAACTCACGTCCAAGTGCCAGCAGAGCATACCTAAACGTTGGAAATTATGAAAAAAAAACCTATTTTTATTGTTTTAAATTATTTAGAAAGGCTAGAAGCTAGAACTCTTTCGTTTATAATAGATCTGTACCAGAACTTTAATATAGAACTCGATTCGAGTCCAGAACTCACGTCCAAGTGCCAGCAGAGCATATCCGAATTTTTGAAAAGTCAGAACAAACCATTTTTATTGTTTCAAATTATTGTAAAAGGCTAGAACTCTTTCGCTTATCACCGATCTGTATCAGAACTCTAATATAGAACTCGATTCGAGTCCAGAACTCACGTCCAAGTGCCAGCAGAGCATACCAGAACGTTGGAAATTATGAAAAAAAAAACCTATTTTTATTGTTTTAAATTATTTAGAAAGGCTAGAAGTTAGAACTCTTTTGTTTATAACAGATCTGTAACATAACTCTAATATAGAACTCGATTCGAGTCCAGAACTCACGTCCAAGTGCTAGCAGAACATACCTAAACGTTGGAAATTATGAAAAAAAAACCTATTTTTATTGTTTTAAATTATTTAGAAAGGCTAGAAGCTAGAACTCTTTCGTTTATAACAGATCTGTACCAGAACTCTAATATAGAACTCGATTCGAGTCCAGAACTCACGTCCAAGTGCCAGCAGAGCATACCTAAACGTTGGAAATTATGAAAAAAAAACCTATTTTTATTGTTTTAAATTATTTAGAAAGGCTAGAATCTAGAACTCTTTCGTTTATAACAGATCTGTACCAGAACTCTAATATAGAACTCGATTCGAGTCCAGAACTCACGTCCAAGTGCCAGCAGAGCATACCAGAACGTTGGAAAATGTGAAAAAAAAAACTATTTTCATTGTTTTAAATTATTTAGAAAGGCTAGAAGCTAGAACTCTTTCGTTTATAATAGATCTGTACCAGAACTCTAATATAGAACTCGATTCGAGTCCAGAACTCACGTCCAAGTGCCAGCAGAGCATACCTAAACGTTGGAAATTATGAAAAAAAAAACCTATTTTTATTGTTTTAAATTATTTAGAAAGGCTAGAAGCTAGAACTCTTTCGTTTATAATAGATCTGTACCAGAACTTTAATATAGAACTCGATTCGAGTCCAGAACTCACGTCCAAGTGCCAGCAGAGCATATCCGAATTTTTGAAAAGTCAGAACAAACCATTTTTATTGTTTCAAATTATTGTAAAAGGCTAGAACTCTTTCGCTTATCACCGATCTGTATCAGAACTCTAATATAGAACTCGATTCGAGTCCAGAACTCACGTCCAAGTGCCAGCAGAGCATACCAGAACGTTGGAAATTATGAAAAAAAAAACCTATTTTTATTGTTTTAAATTATTTAGAAAGGCTAGAAGTTAGAACTCTTTTGTTTATAACAGATCTGTAACATAACTCTAATATAGAACTCGATTCGAGTCCAGAACTCACGTCCAAGTGCTAGCAGAACATACCTAAACGTTGGAAATTATGAAAAAAAAACCTATTTTTATTGTTTTAAATTATTTAGAAAGGCTAGAAGCTAGAACTCTTTCGTTTATAACAGATCTGTACCAGAACTCTAATATAGAACTCGATTCGAGTCCAGAACTCACGTCCAAGTGCCAGCAGAGCATACCTAAACGTTGGAAATTATGAAAAAAAAACTATTTTCATTGTTTTAAATTATTTAGAAAGGCTAGAATCTAGAACTCTTTCGTTTATAACAGATCTGTACCAGAACTCTAATATAGAACTCGATTCGAGTCCAGAACTCACGTCCAAGTGCCAGCAGAGCATACCTAAACGTTGGAAATTATGAAAAAAAAAACCTATTTTTATTGTTTTAAATTATTTAGAAAGGCTAGAAGCTAGAACTCTTTCGTTTATAATAGATCTGTACCAGAACTTTAATATAGAACTCGATTCGAGTCCAGAACTCACGTCCAAGTGCCAGCAGAGCATATCCGAATTTTTGAAAAGTCAGAACAAACCATTTTTATTGTTTCAAATTATTGTAAAAGGCTAGAACTCTTTCGCTTATCACCGATCTGTATCAGAACTCTAATATAGAACTCGATTCGAGTCCAGAACTCACGTCCAAGTGCCAGCAGAGCATACCAGAACGTTGGAAATTATGAAAAAAAAAACCTATTTTTATTGTTTTAAATTATTTAGAAAGGCTAGAAGTTAGAACTCTTTTGTTTATAACAGATCTGTAACATAACTCTAATATAGAACTCGATTCGAGTCCAGAACTCACGTCCAAGTGCTAGCAGAACATACCTAAACGTTGGAAATTATGAAAAAAAAAACCTATTTTTATTGTTTTAAATTATTTAGAAAGGCTAGAAGCTAGAACTCTTTCGTTTATAACAGATCTGTACCAGAACTCTAATATAGAACTCGATTCGAGTCCAGAACTCACGTCCAAGTGCCAGCAGAGCATACCTAAACGTTGGAAATTATGAAAAAAAAACCTATTTTTATTGTTTTAAATTATTTAGAAAGGCTAGAATCTAGAACTCTTTCGTTTATAACAGATCTGTACCAGAACTCTAATATAGAACTCGATTCAAGTCCAGAACTCACGTCCAAGTGCCAGCAGAGCATACCAGAACGTTGGAAAATGTGAAAAAAAAAACTATTTTCATTGTTTTAAATTATTTAGAAAGGCTAGAAGCTAGAACTCTTTCGTTTATAATAGATCTGTACCAGAACTCTAATATAGAACTCGATTCGAGTCCAGAACTCACGTCCAAGTGCCAGCAGAGCATACCTAAACGTTGGAAATTATGAAAAAAAAACCTATTTTTATTGTTTTAAATTATTTAGAAAGGCTAGAAGCTAGAACTCTTTCGTTTATAATAGATCTGTACCAGAACTCTAATATAGAAATCGATTCGAGTCCAGAACTCACGTCCAAGTGCCAGCAGAGCATACCAGAACGTTGGAAAATATGAAAAAAAAACCTATTTTTATTGTTTTAAATTATTTAAAAAGGCTAGAAGCTAGAACTCTTTCGTTTATAATAGATCTGTACCAGAACTCTAATATAGAACTCGATTCGAGTCCAGACCTCACGTCCAAGTGCCAGCAGAGCATACCAGAACGTTGGAAAATGTGAAAAAAAAAACTATTTTCATTGTTTTAAATTATTTAGAAAGGCTAGAAGTTAGAACTCTTTCGTTTATAACAGATCTGTACCAGAACTCTAATACAGAACTCGATTCAAGTCCAGAACTCACGTCCAAGTGCCAGCAGAGCATACCAGAACGTTGGAAAATGTGAAAAAAAAAACTATTTTCATTGTTTTAAATTATTTAGAAAGGCTAGAAGTTAGAACTCTTTCGTTTCTTCTTCTTTCGTTCGTTCTTTCGTTCTTGCTGAGAGTCCAGAACTATTCCTGAAAAGTATCAGGAACTATAGAACTCAGCTCCTTGCGCGAAGAACTCACATTTGTTTTTGATTTTCTGCAAAATGATCTGCTACGGGAAGCTAGCAGATCATTTTGTCAATTGACTTTTTTTAAGGTAAAAACGCCAGAACTATTTCTAAAAAGTATCAGGAACTATAGAACTCACGTGCATGCGAATAGAACTCACTTTTTTTTTGATCTGCTGGACAATGATCTGCTAAGTTCACTGACATAATTAACTGCTCATTACGTCTACACTAAAAATGGAAAAATAAAAACTTACAAAAAAAAAAAACAGTCGACAATATTTTAAGATATGAATAATAATAGGTATAATATATATAGGTATAATGTATTTTACGTATCGAAATATATATTAGATTTGCTTTGCGTCGGCTGGCACCGACTTCGAAAATATCTGATTAGGTATCTATTCTAAATGAAAACCTCCGTTTAGTTATTTTTTACATTTTAGTGCCTGGAAGTCGTTTTTTTAAGTTTTTACTTGTCATTAAAATTGTGATTATTATTTTAAAAAAACGTATATTCTTGTCCATAGTACTGAAAAGCAACGCATGGATAATTTGGTCATGTGGGCTCGTGGTTTTGCTGACACTATGCCTTCTCTACATAATCACATTGCGGTCAGCTCTACGATATTGGAAGGAGTCTGGCATCAGCGTAGCGATAGTTTTAGCTGTTTATCCCGTAAGTATGTTGGATATAATCGTAAAGGCACTATGCTAACATTTATTAATGCTAGTAATAACCAGTCCGGTTCACGCTTATAAAATTAGTCATCTGGTATCTAGTTTTCAATTCTTATTTAAAAAATTGTCACGATAGAAGTAGGTACACTATAGGGTAAGGGTGTATACTTTTATTTCTATTCAAAGGTTCTTATTAGTCTCTCATTACACTCTTGAAAAAAATATGGCAAGCAAGAAAAAAATATCACTATTGTAATATTTTTTGGTTTACCTACTTTTATAAACATCAGCTTATCAGTAAATATATGAAATCTTTTACATGATTTATAAACGCCTTATAAAGTACTTGAGTTTTATTTTATTAAGTATGGTAAAACAAATTAAGCTTAGTAGAAATCATTGCCGGGCGGTAGAGATCTCTTTGATGTTCTTTAATTTACTTATTATAAGTAACGATCGAGGCTAGCTTTAACAAGGTCCTTTGTAATACGAATATAGCATTTGGACTCAATGGACTGGTTAATTTTAACACCGCCACAATTACAACCGGTCATATATGTTTTTCTTGTATTAAATAGCAAACGTCCGTTACCAAATATCCCACGTTAAATAATTACTTATCGTATATTCCCTGGCTCACGAAAGTAAACATCCTGGCTTTCCGAGTCAGTTGCTTGAAGTGAAGGTGCTAGTGTTGCATAAACCGACATTAACTGTTTCGTAAGATGACGACTAAGCGAGTACGTAATTACATACATAGAGGAGCTAAAAAATATACCTGCGTAACTCTGTCATATGGAACTATCTATTAGCGCCCTGCTCCGGATTCACTCCGGCGGTTTTTGAAGTTGACACTGATTAATTATTTTTTTAACTGAAATATCAAGTATGTCATAATGTGCTTCAACACGTAAGTACTTACTTAAAAAAAATGTGATTTTTTTTCTTATCTTTCCAGAGTTTACATGCTAAAGATATACCATTTAGATACTTAAACGATTGAATTTAAATTACGTTTCATTCGTATGCAATAACTTCTACATCATAAATGTTTACATTATGTAAGATCACTAATAAAAGTTCAAGATATTCCTTATTTATATTCTTATGTTCAGCACTTTTATAATCGTCAGTGAGTTACATAATTTATAACCATAATTTTCAGCATTACAAACAATTCGTGACTAAAGGGTGGTACGACATCTGCGTGCAAAGGCGCGGGAAAACAAATGGATATTTATTTGTTTGCGCCTTTTTTTTTAAGAAACACAATATTCCTATCGGCCAAAGGTCACATAACTAAATGCCTTATACATAATTCATTACAAATTAATCAAATATATTATTTTCTATTAAACACTCAATAGGTATATAGAAATGCAACCTTACACATAGATTAGTTATTACAAATAAATATGTTTTATAAAATACTGCAGTTATTATATAGGTACTTAGATTATCCATCGCTTATCAGTAATTTTGTAAAATATACAGTATATTTACAGTATATACTAGTAATTTTCGACGGCAACGTCACTAATCCATACATATAATAAAATTGTAACTAAGTCGAATCTGTACATTAAAATTTTTTTGGAAAATCTTATTGAAATAAACATTAGAGGCCGAAACTACAGTTTTTAGAATTTTTGTCTGTCTGTCTGACAGAAAAACCACTGGAGGGATGAAATTGGAGAAAAAGAAGATCCTATATGTTGACCCAGATAACTAGCTATCATCATACCAAATTTCATCAACATCTGTCCAGTGGTTTTCTCGTGATGCGGTAACAGACAGACAGATAGACAGACGGAAAGACAAAAATTCTAAAAACTATAGATTCGGACTCAGTATCGATAATAATGTCTATTTCAATTAGATTTTGCAAAAAATATTTAATGTACAGATTCGACTTAGTTACAATTTTATTATATGTATAGATGTATTATGTAACCAAAAAAGTATTCTAGAGAACGAATGATTAGAATAAAATATATAATATGTAAATATCGAGTAATAATGTAAAAAATTTACGTTCTTAGGAAGAGTTGAGTGCGTTAGTGATCCTGCGATGCCCCATTAAGACGGGGGAGGTTTTGTTTGGTTTTAATGGGTAGTCCTGGCTTTTCTAGACAGTGAGTCCCACATAATCTGAATGACTACATAAATGCATGTCCCAACGTTTAAAAAAGGCTTAGATAAATTGCATAAAATTTTTATTTATGATGTCGTGGCCAAAGATGGAGTTTTGCTATGGGCAGTTAGATCTAACCGCACTTAGGATGTAAATAAAAAAAACTAATCTGTGGCAAGAATATCTTGCTAGATAACAGCATCTAGGTACTTTATAATAAAGTGTTTAAATTTTGATACCTAAAATAACTTGTGAAATATAATCGCTCATGTGCTTTAGAGAGACTGATGTAATGTCTTGACTATGTAATCGATTTTACATTTTTTTTATTAGTATGTAAAATCTTAATTTGTTTGAGTGAATATCTAATTTATGTTAATTTAATTATGGAAATATATATATATATATATATATGTATATATATATATATATATATATATATATATATATATATATATATATCTTCTTCTTCTCCCTGCCCATTTCCCAAATCAATTGGGGTCGGCGCAGTACATCTAAGACATACATATATATATATATATATATACATATATATATATATATATATATATATATATATATGTATATATATAGTATAATACAAATTAATTTAGTAGACTTTTTTAGTCAGAAATAATTAAAACAAACAGGGACAGTGGAACCTAAGCTAACTAACACAAATAAGTGTAGTGAAACCGATACTACTTATCTAGACGATAAGTCTTTTTTTCGTTATTTAATTTCGAGCATATATTCTCGTTATACCTACATACAATATTTACATCAATTTTGTATTTTAAATATTCTAAGACGTGATTCTCTACTGTGTGTATGTATGTATTCAACCCTTTTTAACGTCCCACTGCTGTGCACGGGCCTATCTTCAGTACGAGGGGAATCAGGCCATAGTCCACCACGCTGGCCAAGTGCGAGTTGGCGGACCTCACATGTCTTTCGAAAACTTGCTAGGTTCTCTCAGACATGCAGGTTTCCTTACGATGTTTTCCTTACCCAAGCGAGCGCGTTACCACTAGGCTACCACTGCCTTGATTCTCTACTAATAACTAGATACTAATCAAGTTTTGTCAAACGTGGGAAAAGTTTATTTGCAAATAAAACCTGTTGTACTTGACCACAAAAAATAATGGCGTGTGAAAATAATACAGAAAGTAACAATGACGATTGAGCAATAATTTCCATTTAATGTAAGAGTTAGGAAAACGTGTAACTTCATATTCTTCTTTGTTTCTATTACCTAACATTTTTGAATCTTTTATCAATAGTGCAATAATAAGATAATTCATCTTCTTTATAGAGACTTTCGTTAAGAATAGCTAAAATGAATGATTTAAAGTTCTTTAAAATAATGAATGATATTTTTGTCGTATCTACGTGAATAGTTTTTAATTACTCTCAATGTTAATTGGGAGTAAGTAATTATCAATTCTTTCTGCGAAGAACAATACTAACAATGCCGTTTTTTTATTGAAAATATACTATTTAAGTATAAATTTGTTTTGTAACTGGAAAATTCATTTAAACATTTTTTTAATTCTATTTCTTATTTTAAACTGCGTGACACATTCAAAAAAGCTTCAATAAAAATCTTTATGTGTTGTGTTATTTTATAATTAAATTCGTATCGTTTACTTATTTTCAGGTGGTAGCAGCTACAGCTTTACTCACCGTTGTGCTACCCAGAGTTCGAATCTTGTCTGAAGCAATTGCCCAAGAGGCTGTAATGGTGGCCATGTACCATTTGTACTTCGTAATATTAGCTGAATGCGGTGGGACTAATCAACTTATAAGGTATGCTGTATGCTACGATATTATGTATGAGTGAAGAACGTCTTAATACATTAAAATAGCCCACTTTGCTAATCATCTGCGAACTAGGGCTCGCAACAATATACATAACTTTACTCAGTATAGTCACACACATTTGGTGATAACGCAAATAGAATATGGCAGTTGCTTGCTATTCATCTGATAATTGGATAAATAAAAAAATATTATTTAACCCACTATTGTTCATGTTATTTAACATTATATTCAGTCTCATTATATTCATTATTGATTGATGATGATGAATAAATGATTTTATCATTAAAAATTGCGAATTTTAGTTAGGTCTTAACATTAGTCGGAAGGATTTTTATCTACACACTAGTGGCTCACCCTCGCTTCGCTCAGGTTCGTCCCTAGGCACCTACAGCCTAGGTACGTTAAATAGATATAAATAGTTTGTAACCAGCGTTAGCCATGTAAAAAAAAAACTTGGATTTTTCCGATGTTTTAATAGTTATTCTGTTATTCGGGGCGGAGACAAATCCAACACATCAAAGACCCATCAAAATCGTTCTAGCTATTCCAGAGGCGAGGGTGAGTCGCTAATGTTCGAATAAATTGAAAAACTTCAAAAATTCTACAAAAAAGACCGCGATAGCATATGTATATATATCTATTAATGTGGACTCACAATAACCATTTTTGTGGTTCTCAAATTGGGTCTAAAATTTTATTTGCGAAGCTGTTTTTACTGACACGGTGTTAATCCTTAAATATGCTAGACAAGTTAAACACTTAGTTTAGATCAAAACTAACGTTTACACCATTAGAATTAGATGAATATCTTAGAAAATATCACAGAATGAAAATAACTCGCGAAACGTAATATTAACATAACGACAACGATGACAGCGGGGGCAGTAGCAGACCCCGGTCTGCCATGTTATGCCTAGCATGTCGCCCACCAACGCGAGCGTAGGGCTACACCTACATGTAGGGTATGTTTTATTACGATACTCGTATCTAGGGATGCACCCGAGTGAATCGAAGGTAAGTCGCTAGTTCATATGAATATCGGACGAATAGAAACTTCGATAGAATATTTTGACAACATTTGCAAATAACCACATTTTTTTACATTATGATAGAAGTAATAGAAATATTGGCTTAAGTTATATTTAAATATCTAATGTTTGTAAAAGCTATTCAAAATATTGGACAAGGAACATTAAATTTACAATATGTAAATTAAAAATTTATGACTTTAAAAGTAAAATGGAGATAGTAAATAGCTTCTTTGGTTTCAGACGATCCGAAGGGTCTCAGATGGAGACTCGAGTGTTGCCTTGTTGTTGTTGGCCATGTTGCATCCTGCCAAGGCCTCAAATTCAAAAGTAAGTTGTGCCTAATATAAATAAAACAAAACGTTTATTGTATGACATTATAATTTTTTTGCAAGATTTTGGTACTTTCTATTAATCAGTCTAGTTTAACAAATGCGAAAATTTGTATGTGTACTAGTGATGTAACGAATGTTCGATTTTTCACATTCGCGAATGCGAATGCGAATATTCATCTCCAATATTCGCGAATACAAATGTTGATTTTCAAACAAAGCGCGCGCAAAATGTCAAACAGACATTTAGGTTTGACATTTCGTGTCAGCCATGTTTAAACCGAACATAGCCGAGCCGTTATAGGTTGAATGAACGAAGTTAGTCACATAGACTTCGTTCTAAAAGATTTGTTGTGATGTGAAGTTAGTTAGCATTATTGCATTTGTCAAATTTAAGTAATGACTAGTCAAATTGACAAAGTGATATAAAAACATGAGTAAAGCACAGTTGTATTTTCATTCGTCCGTTCATTCCTTATATAATTTCCTTTTTGTTTGTCAAACATTCGCATCGTTTCTTGCGAATACGAATGCGAATGTCAAAAAATAAGCGAATATTCACGAATGCGAATATTCGTTACATCACTAATGTGTACGTTAAATTGTCACGCTGAAACGGCTGGACTGATATGATTTGTTTGGGACCTACCTACGGACGCGAGTCGATAGTATTATGTAATGTTTTTCTGAAGCAAATAAGCAAAGTTCGATACATAAAGATTAACCATAAATATATGTTGTCACACCTATCTACACTAAAATCTATTATATAAAATTTTTAACTTCGACTAGATCAAATATTATATTAACTACGTTAACATAGTAAACTGCTTAATTACATACATCAATTATTTATATGCAATTACTTTTCTCACTGTGTACTTCGTGACGAGGACACTTGCAATAACACGTAATTTTACAATCAACAACACTTTTACGTATTTAAAATAATGGAATTGACTTGAAATTATTATATTAGCCCTAGAAATTCTGGGTGTGTTCTTTTATATTTTTTCTATAAGTTGGTTTTAATTGGTTAACTATAATTGATTTCACTTTTTTAGTTAATATAACGCTATAAAAGTTTAATTATGTGAGTTGCTTGCGTTCGCTTGTTGTTGACGGTCGTTTAGAACCGGTTTTGTTTAAGCGTACGCGTATTTGTTATTTTATAAATTGCAATGAATTTTTTACTCGTCGGATATGGATAGCGATATAAACTCGTTAGATATGGACCGAGATTGTGAAGTAATTAATTTATTAGAAGAGAGGACCGAGATTAACAGTAATGACGAAAATTCGTTATTATTATATGAGAGGACAGAAAGAAGTCGCGCAGAGAAGAGAAATCGGGTGGTAGACGAGGAAGAAGTTTGGACAGAAGTCGGTAGAAGAGGTAAAGTAGTGGCACGCAGTGCGTCTGACGATGATATGACTAGAGTACCAGAAGAACAAATTGAGATAAGTATGACATCGAAAAAGGAGAAGTTACCTAAGCAATTAGGATTGGCCCGTATCCTCAAGCAGGAAAATATATTAGATATTATTCGAGTGAGGTATATTAATGCCTATAAAGTGATGCTAAAATTCAGCAAAAACGAAAGCGCAGAGAAGCTAATACAATGCAAATACTTCATTGATAAAGAATATCGATGTCAAAAGACCTTTGAAGTTGGCATTTCTTATGGAATAATTAGGGACATAGATTTAGAAATGACTGAATCGGAAATTCTGCAAGATTTAACTAGCACCACTCCAATATTAAATGTAAAACGGCTAAAGCGGCGGAATTTTGACAATGGTGGGTTCGAAGATAGTGAATGTGTAAGGGTTTGTTTTAAAGGTTCGTCCTTGCCTTCATACATTTATTCTTATGGCACACGCATAAAAGTAGACCCTTTTGTTTTCCCCGTTACGCAATGTTCCAGGTGCTGGCGATTTGGCCATAATTATAAGGAATGCTCAAAAAAGAATACCATTTGTCCTAAGTGTGGGAAATTTCATAATAATTGCGAAACAACTGCTTTTAAATGTGTAAACTGTAAGGGTAAACACATGGCATTGTCAAAGGTTTGTCCTGTTTATTTAAAAGAAAAGAAAATAAGGGAATTGATGGCAGAATACAATTGTACATACAAAAAGGCTCTTACAATGTATGTGCAACCTTCACCTCAGTATGAAAGACATCAAGAGGACACTCTTCAGGAAAACCTACCTAGGACAACTCAATCAGATAACAATATAACATACGCAGAGGTCTTAAAAACTACAGCCGAAGTACACAGGGAGCAGGACACAAAGCATCATAACTCTACATGAACTCAACCGTGCTATTAAAAACAAGGATACAGCTCCTGGCGATGATTCCATTTCCTTTTCTATGATAAAATACCTTCCTGTTAATGGGAAAGAGATATTGATTCAGATATATAATATGATTCTGGCTTCTGGATATGTGCCAAGTCAATGGAGAAAAACTTCAATTATCCCTATACCGAAGACTGGTAGCCTATCTCAATTGTTGTTGGATATAAGACCCATTGCTCTTCTGTCTTGCCCTTGTAAAATCTTCCATACAATTTTAAAACACCGATTAGAATGGTTTTTTGAAAATTTAAATTGCTTTTCTAGAAATACTGTTGGGTTTAGAAAAGCTCACTCCTGTTTGGATAGTTTGACTAGTTTAGTTTCTCACATTCAATTAGGATTTGGGGACAATATGTTTACTTTAGGATGTTTTGTTGATATTGAGAGCGCATATAACAACGTTGATATTACTATTTTATTGAAAACATTAGACAGTCTTGGAGTAGGATCAATTATTTGTATTTATTTGTGGGAATTTATGAGATCTAGAGAATTAAATATACGTTCCTCAGGTAACTACAGTGGAGTTACAGGAAATGAGCTGGTAGATCGCCTTGCAAGAGAGGCAGGATCCGATGGAATACCCCTAAGCATAGTGCCTTTTTATTGTGATCTGTTACCTATATTAAATATTAGTAAGTTGTGGGTGCAAAACTTTGAAAAGACTTCTCAGAACAAGGGGATTTGGTATAGGACTATTCAGCCTGTACCCTTTCACTCTCCTTGGTTTGAATCTTGTAATTTAGATAGATCCACCCTAAAATTAGCTTTTAGAATTCGTTCTGGACACATTCCCCTGCATTTATAATGAAAAAGATTTCATCTCCTTTGTGTGTAGTGTGTATTTGCTCAAAATGATATGAATATTGGAATGCAATAGTATGTTAACATGTCCTCACTCAAGTTCCGCTAAAAGTGTGTATAAATTAGTGAAGTTAGGCTTAAAAAACAGATAATTGTTTGATTATATAAATATTCAAGGGTTTTTTTTTAAGTGCTTGCATTTATCGTTATTAGTTATAGTTCTAACCTTAATACATAATTATGTTAGTAGTGTTCAGGATGTAAAATGTATTATGTAGCATGTAAGAAGTCCGAACAGGACGACATGTTTCTTTTTTGTGAACAAGTCCTTTAAATAAAGAGAAAAAAAAAAAAAAAAAAAAAAAAGTTTAATTATGTTTTTTGACGAAATATTATCATTTTTTTGTAAGTATTCAAATATTTATTACTGTAAATTATCATAAAAACTTAAAAAACTTGCTCACCTTATATTAAAAAGAAAAAATGCACTTGGTATGTTTGTTTATAGTTATAAAATATAATGAAACTACTTTAAGAGTTAAGAATGCAACGTATAGAATCTGGAAAGAACAACATTGCGTTACAGTAGCATATGAGTAACGATGTTATAGTCAAGCTGTGTAGTGTGTACTAAATATCTCAATCCGTCCAGCCCTTTTAGTGCGAAGGATTAACAAACATACACACCCATACATATGTATGTACGTACATACTTTAGCATTTAAAAAAGTAGTCTAATAATTTCTATTTAATCTTAATTCCTCGAATATTTCGGTGTACATATGTATGTGTTACCATACATACATTTTAAATTAGTTGATAGATCACTGATAACTGAGTACTTAACTTGGTATCAGCGGCATTATTTCAGTAGTCAGACTAAGCGTTTCGTGAATCAGTAAATTATGTTGAAAATCATAACAGGTTCAATTTTGCACTGGTTAAATACTGAATTGGCCATAGTGATGTTTATCCCCATTTCGCTCGGGGTTTGTGAAAGCGTAGAACAGAGTGAGTGGGCAAACTATAGTCTGAGAAAGCTGAAATTGTCTTAATAAATATAAATGGAAAGATGATTTAAGTGTGTTTTTAATTTTTTTACAGGAAAAGTTTAACTTGGTTACGATATCTGGTGCTACAGATGCCTATAATCCAAGCTATTCTGTATCTGATTGTTCTTATACTTTGGGCAGAAGATATGGTATGTATTGTGATTATAAGCATTGGATAACTTTATAATTTTAATTCTGTTTTAGTACTGAATGCATTGAATCATAAATCTTTGCTTTATTGAGTAATAAATTTTGATCAATTTTCTAATAAATATGATTACTGTAATACCGCGGTAATGTTATATATATATATATATATATATATATATATATATATATATATATATATATATATATATATATATATAGCCATGGTAATATACTCATAGACTTGCATGATTCATTTTGTTCTATATATTTAATTGATAACTTATTCTATGACACTATTATCAATATAGAGACAGAATCTATAGTATTTAAAAAAATTGTCTGTCTATCTGTCTGTCTGTGACCGCATCACGGAAAAACCACTGAAGGGATTTTGATGAGGTATGATAATAGCTGGTTATCCGGGTCACCATATAGCATACTTTTACTGCGGGAAAATATGTCATCTCTGAGAAATCTATACTAAACGTTAAAACGTAAGTAAGGATGAACCTGTATATAAGTCTAAAAAATTGCACTGGTAATAATATCTAACACTTGAAGTATAGTGTCTATATATTTAATTGATATTGTTAGACAATTAAACGATACAAGATCAGCCAACAATGATGGTTTTGGAAATGAGCTCTCATATTACTGAGCCAAACTAGAAAAACATAACAAATTATTGTCACTCTTTTACTTGAAGTAATTTTGATAATTTACACTATTTCTTTTGTTTCCAGATGTTGTATGTCAATAGTTTTATTTATATCCAACCGTTTATTGTTGTATCCATTTTATCCGGTGTATGGGGCATAATAATGTGTGTTCAGGCCGCTGAAACCGCTGGAGCAACTCCGAGGCCGAGATTCTTGGCTCTACAATTAGTGCTATTGATAGTCAAACTTCAATATGGTATTGCCAAGATTCTACCAGAGTTGATTACTGTACCGTGCATTTTAGCTTTACATCCTACAGTATTTGTCAATAGTAAGTATGATTTATTTTGATACTGGCATTATCCATAAACGCCTGGGTAAACTTTAAAAATTTGTTTTCTTAGGAGGGTAAACTAAACTAAAAAACTCTTAGATATATAATGTGGCATACACCCCACACTACATTGGTTTACGAGTTCGCCGAATATCTTGGGAAGTGGCCGTTACCGTTTCCGATATATAACGAATATTTCTCAGACTCTTGTCTCGAGTTATATATCGATATTTCACTAGTTCAAGTAAAGTTGACAACAAGACTATGAAATATTAAGTACGAACTTATGCGAGACTGAGACGAAATGAGGTTTTTGTCCACACTTGGACTTTTAGGCAAATATGTAGAGCAGACTATTATGTCTATTAGCCCTAGTAAATACATGTATGTCAGTGTCTTTTTTTTAATATATGTATGTGTTAAAATAAGGTGATCTAGTGGCTAGCATGTACGCCACAAATCCGGAGGTCCTGGGTTTGAGTCCCGGGTCGGGCCAAGTTCAGTTATGGATTATTTCTGTCAAGAACTTCTTAGTAACAGCCTGAAGTTGGGAAGTTAGCTGTGTTTTACCCCGGTGCCTCGCCGAGCACGTTAAGTCGCAGTTGCGGCGCAGAACTCGTCCCACCGGAGTATGAGAGTGACAGGAATAGAGAGCGCATTTGTGTTTGCAGGCATAGGCACTTGTGCTCTATAATATTTCCTGCGTAAATTGCTTGTTTAATGAAATTGGCCGCCGTGGCCGAAATTGGTCGGGTGGACATAATTATAATGAGGAACAAGCATTTCTACGCGATTTTCATATAATATGATCATGTACTAAATAGCAAATAAAATTATATCACTTTAGATTTAATAATAATGTTTTAAAATATTTATTTTGCAGTGATACAAAACATAATAATGATGTTAGAGATGCTATTGCTTTCAATAGTTGCGTGGCGTCTTTATAGCAGGCCGCCGGGGAAGATGATGGACAGAGTGCAGCATGTAGTGGTTGCTGTTTTAGACGACAGTCTTAGTTCCATTGACAAACATACTAAATACAATGTTAAGTGCGAAGATTAATAAAGAAACTGTATTTTAAAATATGTGTATATATAAATACTTTGTTAACGAATTAAAATTAATTTTGCGTGTTCAACGCTGTCAAGCGTAAACTGTTAAAAATAATAGAGTTACCAATAGATGTGATTTTTATATAGACAAATTTTATTAAAATAATTTTGCTCTCTTAACGAGTGTTGATGTTTTGTTCTAATAAAATAGCACTTAATATACCTACTCAGAATTTTTTGGTACAGCCTATTTGATTTTCTTTTTTCTTAAACTATTATTCTTAAGATATGGCTTTGTATTGTTAAGTTAAGTGAACATTGTGTGATCCGAATTTTAAACGATTTTTTTACCATTATTTTACATAGGATTTCTGTGAAAGAAGTAAAGTCATGTACCTGATTTTTTTAATGTTATGTAATAAAAAAACTACATACACCAAACGGTATTTTATTGCAAATTAAAATACTCGTAGATAAAGACAAATAAGATTCAATATTCGGCACCATCACTTTATGGATAATGAAGAAAAACTAAAGGGGGTATCACTTCTTCTTTCTGTGACTTTTAGTATTTTAATTGCGTACATCTATTGATGTTTACAAGAAAAAAAAACGTATTTGTATTGACCACATATAAAATTTATTCGTCTAGACTAAATTTTGAAGTGAACTAAATTTTGTGTCGAATGCTTGGTCCATTTTTCAATCTTCATAAGCAGTACAATTATACAATGACACTGGATACAGTCACTCGTTTTCTATATCGTCGTCATTTTGTGATATATCTTCAGAAGTATCTTCAGAAGGCGTTCCTGATCGAGAATTTTCTGAACCATAAATATTATGTAGTTCCTCTAGTTTGTAATGTATTTTGACACCTTTAGATGCAGTTTTGTTAACTTTACTTACAAGTGATTTGGTTTGTTCTTCTAATCTCTTTAAACGAAGATCACGTGCTGCAAATCTAGCCTCTTGATCGATGTCTTGGGAGGAGGAAGACTCTTCGGCATCTAATGTTTTATTATCTTCTTTTGTTACGTCCTCGTTTGATCTTTCACCTGTGTTTCCATCTGTAGCTGCATATTTTGAGTGTAAACTATCTAATTTGGCAATCATGTCATCTCCTGACTGAAGAGTATTGGATATATTTGCTAAAGTGGATGAGCAACTACCTTCCAATTTTTCTAATCGTTTATCTTTTAACTGAAGACGTTCGTTCTGTTTTCTTACATTTTCTAAAATCGCAGCAAAGTCTATTTCATTTGTAGCTTCAGGTTCAATATTTTGTTCAATTTCAGTTGTTGTTGTTGTTTGAATATCTACTTTACTTTCACTGTTTTGTGGTGTAGTTTCGTATTCAGCACTTTCTTGAAATGATTTCTTCGTCATTATATCATTTTCAGAATATATATTTTTTTTAGACAATAAATCAGTGTCGTCTTTATTACTATGCTCTTCCTGAGTGTCATTTAGAGTTGATCTAGTTAGCAGATCATTTTGATCATTATGTATAGGTGTTTGAGTAACTTCTAATGTATTATTACTACTACAACTACTTTCAGGTATCTCAGAAATATTTTCTTCAGTAAAGTTCTGTAAAAGTACCAACGAATCATTTTTTATATATGTATTGGTAGATATTTCTGGTATATTACTGGTTCCAGTTTGATCATTTTGACCACAACAAAATTTTACCTTGGCATTTTCATTTTTATTTAATGGATTTTCTAGTTTAGATTGTTCATCCAAACACAAATCATTGGAAATATCACCAATTTCATCTTCTGTTTCTTCACAGTTTTCTGTTTTAGGCAGTTTTTCACTAATACTGGAATCAAGAACACGTTCAGCATTGTCTTGAGTATCCAATGGCAGTTCAGCTATATCCAACATGTCGCTGACTGGATCTTCTCTCTCCGCTAAGTTAAAATCTGTGCTAGAATCAACAACCGTTTCAAAAGATTTCTTTATCTTTTTCTTACATTTTATCTTAGGTTCCACATATTCACTTTCATCATTTGATTCGGAGTCCGATGGCCTTTCATCGCTATACCCACTTTCAGCGGAGTTATTGAATGATATGTCCGGTTTTAATTTTCTGTTCGAAAATTCTGTCCGTAACTTTCGCCAATCTTTTTCCGATTGAGAATTTTTTTCACGAGCTTGTTCCAATTTTTCTCGACAATATTCAAGTTCTTCTTTGAGTTCATTTAGAAGTTTTCTCTTCTGTTGTAATTCGTATTTAAGTATCTTTTCATGAGTATGCAATTGATGATGATGCCTTCGTAATCTACCCACAACGTGCCAAGTTTTGCTTAGTTCATTTGTAACTAAACAAAGCCGTTTTTCTTGCTCTCCTAAACGTGACTCCAAATGTGTGTTTAACTGCTTCATTCTATTAACTTCTTTGATCAAAGCCAATTTTTCTAAAATTAAATCCTGAAAATAAAAAAAAATCAATAATAGGTACTTATGTAATATTTCATTTTAAAAAAGTTAGAAAAAGGTAAATTATAACTACTTAATAAAGAATTATAAATAGTTTGTCATCTATATACACCTTAATATATATAATTCTTCTGTACATGTGCTGGTGACCTAACTCCTCCTAAGCTGACTTGGATGTAATTTTTCGTGTATATTTTAATGGGTTCCTGGATGGTTTAAAAACATTTTTCGTGCAATAAATACATTTAATTTGTAGCGGTCGGAAGTTTGGACGCGGGCGAAACCGCGGGTATTGCTAGTATGTATAATAAAACAGTAACTTAGCGAAATCTGTACATGAAATATTTTTTAAAAACAATGACTGTATAACATTCTGTTTGCAGAATAGACTCCAAAAAAATAGTTATTAAAATTTTTGTCTGTCTTGATGTCTGTTTGTAAATCTGTATATATTTCACACAAAAAGTAGTAAACCGATTTTAACCTTTTGTGTAGTGATAACTTATTACTCGGATCAATATTAAGATAACTGTTACTAAAGGAAAATCTTTAATTACCTCAGGAAAAATCATAACTGCTTCTGTCAAGTCGTCCTTAAAAATTTACATTGCTAACGTTGGTTATACCTACATACGTTAAAGATGTGCACATAAAAACAATGTATTAGAATATTATTGTTAGGTCTACAGAAAAACTAAAATAGCATAAGGTTTTCACTCACTAGACATATGTAACTATTTATATCTTTTCAAATCATATCTTAGGGACGCACTCGAGCGAAGCGAGGGTAAGTCGGGAGGTGTACATAAAAAGACACGTAAGTAAATTTGAATACATGCCAAAACTTATAACAACTCATCTATTTTTAAAATAAATACAAATTGTTGCTCATGAAAATATTTTTGATTTCTTACTTATCTTGACTCATCGTTTAAAAAAAGTTTTAAATGATAATACATTAAATACTTATATGGTACGAAATGAATCTTGAAAATAATTTAATAATAACTCGGTCATGGTTATATTAAACTGACATGTGTTTATTATTAATCTATTAAATTATACTTGTTTCTTACCTTTAGTCTGATATATGTTTGGCTAACACTTGGTACTAAGACTGGACCAGACTTAGTTTCTACCGATTTGTAGCAAGTGGTTACTTTTTCGGAAATATTTGTATCGGCTTCACTTTGATGGCTTAACAATTCCATTAGTACCCGCCATACTTTTGGTAAATTTTGTGCAATTTCATCTCGTTTGGCAACATCTGTAAAAGTTGCGATAGTTAATTTTTTTTAATTATTGAATTTTCTCATTCATAACAAACACTAAAGTATGAATAAGTAAAATTATACCTACCTGATTTGTGTAAATTAATGTCATTGTGGGGTTCATCAACAGATACATCAGTCAAATCTTGATTATCTTTTTCATCGATTTGATTAACAATTTCTAATAATAGTTTTGGTAGTTCAGTAGATACTTCAGAACAATTTTCTCTTCCAGCCATATGTGTTAATAATCCATGATTTTCTTCAAGCCGATTTACAAGTTTATCTAAATCTTGTTTATTATTGTATCCTAAAAGTGCTTGTGAAAATAGCTAAAAAAGAATGTAATTTAATTTTTTTTATTACATTAAAATAAGTAAAATAAACTCAAATTAATTCGTATTCAAGCATACTTTGTTTATTCCGAACATCTCCGCTTTAAGACGTCGAATTTCTTGTAGGCTTGTCGATATTGTGTTGTTTTTATCTTCTATAGATTCTTCTAAAGAATTAATTTTAATTTCAAATTGTTCTACTTTAATGGTAAGGTCTTTACATCTGCAAAAGTGTTAAATACATGTTATTTTTTAGAGAAAAGCATTAGTGAAGTTTTTTAAGTTTACATTGGCAAGTTAATAAAATTGAATGATAACACAAGAGAAAATTTTACTTATTAATTTCGGCTTCTAGAAGTACTTTGTGTTCATCAAGATCTCTTGATAATGCTTGTCTAGATACATCTGCTAATCTTGCCCGCTCTTCGTATAGGCCTCGCAATGTTCGAATATTTTGTAACTGACGTTCATACTCTTGCCTTAAGTCGGTGGAGAGCATATTTGTCTCCCTATCAGCAAGTGACTGCTCGATTTCGCTTAGTTTACTTTTTAACTAAAAACAATAGTAAAATTATTTTAAAGAATAAATTTCGAAATTAAAAAGACGAAAAAAGAAACTACGAGTAAGTTGTTAATTTATGAATAGATTGAATTTAACTTTTCTTAAACCGAAATATTTAAGGAATGTAGCAAACATTAATTAACGTGATCATTTTAATGAAAAATGAATTATTTATCAAAACAATGCTGGAAATGTCTTGGCTTTCAGTCAAGTCCATGTGCCAAAAGGGAATACCGGTAGCATGCTGCGACGTATTACAGCGGTCCCTGACCGATGAAGGTACTTATGACTGCAGGTCGTTGCCTTTCCAATAAAACAAACATAGTGCAACAGTCTATAGTAGATAAATAAAAATTGCGCATTTGTTATGTACGGTAATACGAACATTTTTTATGATTTACTAATTAATGGGCGTCGTTATTTAGATTGCAGTTACGTTGAACTTGATGGTTCATTTTACCAATCCAAATAATAATAATAATAAATATTGTAAAACTTTTACACTTAATTTAAATGAATGTTGTGAGAAAAAAATAATGATAAATTTTAAAGTTTTTTTTTGTCATAATTGTACCTATTAATTAATGCTAATAAAAGAATTTGAAATAATGTTTACTCTTGTCTATTAAAGTTTTTCTCATTATAGCTATAATAAAAAAGGGGTATTACGGATCATAGCTGTGACAATTTACCTCATTGAGTTGTTGTTCACGGAGTTTAATCATTGTCTTACTAACTGAAATTACTTCTTTAAGCGCGCTAACCTGCTTAATAGATTCTGTGTTTTGGGCACTTAGCTCAGCAATATCTGTATATGCTGTTTGCAATGCACTATTCGAATTCACCAAATCACACCTCAGCTTTATATTGTTTGTCTTCAACTTTTCAATTTCTTCTCTCATATGAGATATAGAGTCCGCAATGTAAGATTTTTCATTATTAGACTTAAGATTTTCTGGCACGTCAATATTATTTTTTATTAATAGTTCACGAAGAAGTTGATTTCTTTCACATAATTCTACTTTTGATTCAATTTCATTTTGTAAAGCGTTCTCTAACGCTTTCTTTTCCTCTCTATGTCTATCTAATATTATTTTTCTTTGTTCACGTTTTCTGTCTAACTCTTTTTTAAATTCACTCATTTCTGCTTCTTTGATCTTAGCACGTTTTTCTTCATAATCACTAACAGTATCATGGAACTGTTCTTCGTTAACTGGCTGGTCATTATCATGTAAACAACTGACGTCTTCCATTGTTTCACTTTCACTAGGTGAATTGTTATCTGAAGAAGAAGCTTCAGGCTCTGTCGAGCTGGCAATGAGAAAATTTCCCATTTTGGAAGACTTTTATAATTCAAGAACTAATTTTATACACGTATTGGCCGATATACTTTTAATAAGACAAAGGAGTGTCGAAAGTCGGATCAGCATTAGTATGAGGTTAGCGTTCTCAAAATAGAACCCTCGTCAGCTTCAGACGTGTGCTGACGTTCAAAGTATGCGCAGTAATACAGAGCAAAGTTTCTCTTCGACGACGAATCTCTGTCAATTATTTATTTTTATCAAGCTATTTCAGTCAGTGGTATCTCTCAGAAAACACGTTGAATGCATGAATACGACCTTGTATTAAAAATTTGTTGTAACGAATCATAGCATCCTTTTTGTTACAAGAAATTTAATTATTCATAGTTTTAATTATTCCTTATTAAGAGTTTTATCTACTCAATATCTTATTCATTTATATATTACACAACATTTTACAATAGGTATTTATGAGAAATACTGGTTACTCGCCACTAGTCGTTAAAATTTTATGGGTCATATTATAGTACTGCCTCGGCGGTGAAGTGGCTAGCATGTACGGCTGCACACCCGGAGGTCCTGGGTTCGAGTCCCAGGTCGGGCCAAGTTTAGTTATTGAGTCTTTTTGTATATTAAGCCTCAGTATCAGCCCGGAGTTGGAAAGTTGGCGGTGTTTCACCCCCGTGCCTCGGAGAGCACGTAAAGCCGTCGGTCCTGCACTGGTCGTGTCGAGTTGTCGTCCCACCAGAGTATGAGAGTGACAGGAATATAGAGTGCACTTGTGTCTGCGCGTACACTTGTGCACAATAATATCTCCTGCGCAGTTAGCTAGTCTCAATGAAATTGGTCGCCGTGGCCGGAATCGGTCAGGAGAACATCATTATTATAGTGCAATCGTGTGCACGGACACAAGTGCACTCTCTACTCCTATAACTCTCATATTTTTATGAGTCGACTATTAATTACGGCGCAGAAATCAGAATCGACAGTCTAACGTGTTTTCCGAGGCATAGCGTGTAACTTTCCAGGTCTGGGTTACTACTCAATATTTGTAACAGAAAAATAGAGTAACAATTTTGTGTAGACCTCAGACTCGAACACAGGGCTTTTGATAAGCTACAGACTACATGCTAGCTAATGAGGTAGTCAAATGAAATTCTTATTCTATTTCATTCCTTCTTTTTCTTTTGTAAGAATAATATTTCAAAATAAAATTTTAAAATATTTTATTCAATGAATATCTATCAATAAATCATATTATATCGAATATACGGGATTTATTCAATTACATAAAAAAGTCACGCGCGAACTGTTCGAATAAGACAACTTTTAAATGTTAGCTATATAGAACTGTATAGTACCCACAGTCTCCGAGTAAAATACCTGACATATACGGACGGCCAAATGGATTAACGAATATCTCGAAGTTATAAGCCATTTGCTTTATGTCTGTGGATGCATATCGCCTTGTGACTGCTAATGATTCGCAATCCGCATCTTCAAAATGATGACGTCACAAAGAGTGCCCTTAGTAAATAATGACTCCTCCTTTTTGGAAGTGGGTTAAAAAGTTTTGTAACGGTAAAATTTTACACTTTTTTCATTCGCCAAGTGTATCGAATAACGAGCAATAAGAAACTTCGTTTCAATAATTTCACTTTGGTGATGATGACCCACCACACCCATGATAAAGTTATAAATAGTCAATATTATTTGCTAAATATAAATTAAATTAAACTATATTTTATTACTTACAGTAATCAAATGAACTACACGATAATTTAAATAATACATATCCAATGATTCAGATTGATTAGCATATAATTTTAAGGTAACTTTGAATGGAATAATTTTATGTAATTGGATTCAATTGTCATTTTAAGAAAATTTAGATATATTTTAATTCGTAACAACTAAAATGATTAATAAATGAAATCAGCAGAACAATAAAAACATTGTTTTAAAGTCAGTTTATGCGCATATCACAGATTATATATAATACGTCCGCACCTCTACCTTCATATTTGGAATTAGATACGTCAATAACGTCAATTACGTTTATTACGAGGAAATCGCGTCGTGTTGCGAAAATTTTTGGGATTTCCAATTTTATGTTAATTATTATTTATCAAAAAGAAAAATTTTCTTCCAGCATAATATTTACACTACATTTATAAGCAGTCGGCTACTTAAGCCTTTTTATTCTAAATTAATGTAAATATTCTGTTTTGTGCCCCGATTGATTTTTATTTTATTTTAACAGTGGCTTATTGATAATAATAGCTGTTTTATCACTTTGCGTGCGACGTGGCTGTTTATATTAAAATTGAACTTGTAATTATGTGAAATGTGAAATAGAATAAGTTATTTAAGTGATGGATGAAAGCATAAAGAACTCCCCTTGTAAGGTAAAAATTTGGCGATGTATTAGTAGTCTAGAATAAAATGACTCTTATTGCAGATTATCGCATTTCTCTAGTATATATTTCTCAATTTTATTTAAATACTCTTTACTTGGTTATAAGAAAAAATATTATATAAACTATTCTTCCCAGTCAACAGAATTTCTATTTATTACCATTTGTTTATAATTTTTGTTTTATTACTAAAACTAGCTATCTCTTCATCAAGGGGATTCTTATTTGTAAGAAACCAAGTACTTATTAAAAAAAGTCAATTTTTCATTTAATATTAAATTGCTTCATAATTAAGAAAAATATTCTAAATGTTTTCATTGTAAAAAGTAGTTTTTTTATTTAAAGCTCGACATTAAAAACATTAGCTACAAATATATAGTACTTAGGACTTTGAGTAAAGTAGCACCATGCTTATGTTTTTTTAGTTTGCATAAAACATAGTTTTTTTTGTTTAAAAAAATTATAATTTTGTATTAGATTTATTATAATTTCCAAATACATTAATAGGAATGTAGTGATGGTGAGGCACAATTGGGCAAAGAAGTGGAGCATTTGAGGGCTCACCTTGCTGAGCGTGATGCACATTTTGTAGCCCTTGAAACAGAATTCTTCAAGTGTTCCTCTAGAGCTAATGATTTAGAGGAACAAATTGGGACTTGGAGAGAAAAGTATGAAAGGTAAACCTCTTCAATATTGTCTATTAACAATAGTATTTAAAGATGACATGAAAATAAATAAGGTAAAGATTCAAATAAAAGAAGTAGTTTTTACAGTTTTATAACTAAATAATGTGGCCCATCTTTTGTTTCGCCTTAACTTCATTATTTAAATATTGCTTTATGGTACTAAAAAATAATAAAATGAAAGTTGTTTGTTCTGCATTTATTTATTATTATCAAGGCAACCAACTTGTATTTAACATTTGCTTTGATTGTATATGATATAAATTAAATACCAAATAAGATGATATGTTCATATTAATTGGTATTTAATGTAAATAGATATATATACTCTTTATTGCGCATAAAAAACAAAAACAAATATTAAGAGGAAATTGAAGGCGAATAAGAATAATTGATATGAATAAATATATTTTTTCAGATTGTATGATTCACACAAGAGAGTACAAAAATTGAATCAGGTTCTTGAGGATAAGTTACTTCAAATGGTAGATAAGATGAAGAGTGAGAAGAGCCAATTAACTAAAGACGTTGCTACTTTATCTGTGAGATTAGCTGAATCTAAACACAATTATAGCATGCTACAGAAAGAGAATGTATGTAATTGTTTATTTGTTTATTTTAATGTGATTTAGAAAATGGTAATTGGTATTACTTTTATATTTATTTTGTATTCCAACATATTTTTTAATTAATGTATTTCTAATTGCAGGAGAGATATAAAAATGATATGAATCTAGCAATTCAATTGCTCCAATGTAAGCCTGATAACTTTGTATCTCAAAAGCTAGATAATGTAAGTTAAATAAGTAATTTTGTAATAATTGAATTATTTTAGATATTAATTAATATGGGAAATATTTCTCTTATTACAGCTCCCTGTAGATACTCAAGCGAGAGTCTCACAATATGTTATGTCAAAAACACCAAAGGCAAGTGGTTCCAACCATTCTAAGAATGGCAATGAAATTGACACATTTGATGCAAGTGAGTATGAATTTAATATATCCGCGTCACTAATGTCTAAAATACTTGAAGATAGCATCCAAGATTCAGTAACAAAGCACTGTGACACATGCACATGCTCAAAGTCTCAAAGCAAACCATTCTGCTATAACGACAGCTACTACACAATCTCCACACAAACAATACTAAGTGGGGACTTCAAAAGTACACTTTGTGCTAACTGCAACGCCGAAATCAAGTCTATGCACTCAGGGTTCAGTATTCGGAGCACCTCCCCTGCCGGTATTACACTTGTAAATGAAAAAAACAACTTATATATCCTACAACAAAACAATGAGCCTAGAGACAATATAGAAATATTGGAATGTAACAAACCAAATAATATTATAAATGACATGATCAAAAGTGAAGACAAAATGAAATTTGAAGCTCAAATTCAAATTGTTAATAAAGTAGAAGATGATTTTAAAATTAGAAGGAACAGCATGAATATGGAACCGGCGGTTCACCACAAGCTTTGCGATCGCACAAAGTCTATTTCTAGCAAGAAAAGTAGTATTCATAGTGTATGTAATGAAGAGCTGCTCAAAGATGTTGCAAAGGACAAGCCAAAGATACCTATTTCTGCGGAAAGCGTTTCTCTGAGAAAGAATTCTCATAGCTCTATGGGTGGTATAAGTCGAGCGTCCTCTATAGCTAAGTCGACAGTTAGTACTCATAAATCCAACACGCAAGTAGGCCCTGGACCTAGATTTTGCCACTTACGAATGCAAGCGGGTTCTAAAAACATTTTGCTCGATAATGCCGAACCAGATGTTCCACCTGTTTTATACAGACGACAAAGTAAATGCAATGAAAATTCCATATTTAAAGATCTTAATGAGGGCTTAGATAATTTTATAGATCTAGAAAAAAATGATGATAATGTCCAAAACGATGGTAAAGATACCATTGTAGTGGAAAGCACTCTCATAGATGTTCACGTGGACAATAATAATAAAGAAGCTAGTCCGACCGTTAAGAATAGTTCGATTAATCCAATACTTTTAAATGTTTCATCATCACCGCTGCAACCCCTCAAAACCCACAACTTTTCAAATAATTCTGAGCATAATAATAATAATTCTCAAGTAGGCAGCCAAAAAAATGCCTCTGAAATTGACAATTTATTAAATGAATTCAACATTGACGTTGATAACCCAACGGACATTCCGAATATTGAAACGGGTAACAAGGAAGATGTTTTGTCTCCTGCGAACAATCATGAAATAAAAATTTTTAATTTCGACCGATATGAGCAAAGCAAAGTGTCTCAGTTCACTCGGCCGCTGAAGAAAATTGACATGTCTCATTTCCATTCTTTAGAAAATACAAAAATTTCTAAGGATCTTCCGCCTTTATGTGATGTTGAAAAGAAGCCAGAGATGATAAAGCCGTCCCTACCGAATATAGTTAACGTTTACCCAAACTTGACGCAGACACACTTAAAAGTAAATGAAAATAAAAAAGTATTCACCAATGAGCAGAGTACAAGCTCTCTTTCGAGTGATGATAGCGCGGCGTTGTTACAAAAACAACAACTTCTTAGAGTAGCCGAGTGGGTCGAAAAGAACTTGGAGCAACAGAATAATCTAAACGATCCTTTAGAAGACGAGTGCACATTTGCAAATAGAACTGCGAGAAGGGATAGTAAAATAAATAGGCTAACAGAGACTCTGAACGAGTTGGCGCTCAACATGCCGCATCCTGTCAGCAAATATTCTAAGTACACCAGAGAGCCAAGAAACAACTGGCCAAATAATAGCGTGAATCAAAACCACGATATAACTAAGCCTAGTGTTTCGAATACGAAAATCGTAAATAACGTCGTTAAAGAGACAATATTCCCAGTCGAATATGGAGACGAAACGGTCACTGAGATTAATGATGCTGCTAAAAGCTTTGCTAATATGGACGTTGGGAAGGAACTACGGGACGCGTTAAAGACAAAAGGCGAGAAGGAAATATCACCTGAAGATTTGGCTAGAATGGAGTATAATGTGAAGAAGTTTTTACTCAGCGGACCGTACTGGGCGAATCCGGCCCCCGCCGGCAGAAGTCGACGTACAAGCAGCAAAACAGAGACTGATGTTTAATCCGCTAAATTTGATACACTGTTCTATTCACAATATCGTCTTGATCACGGTTCGTTTTTCGTCTAATCTTAATGAAAACATATTTTGACAATCAGTCAATATCTTTAAAATTGTGCATGTCATGCACTTTGTTTATAATGAATATCTAAATTAAATCACTAAACCGTATCGTGATCGAGGTAATATGGATAAGTTAACTGTCTCATTCGTTATTTATATGTGTACTCCCGAAGTATCAACTGACCTCCTTGACTTATGAATGTAGGGTTATACTGTTTTTGTGTAATTTAACAAATGAAATGAATTTAAAATCCAACGATTTATAACGCTTTTGATGACGCTTTTATGCAAAATTCAAATGAAATTGCTTTTTTGACGTGTTTTGGTGTGTTTATTTAATTTAAATGTAAGCTTTTGATATATAGTATGTATTTATAAAATAATTGGCACAAATCAGACATATACATTTATGTGTCCGTATATTTTTTATATTCTATTTATTTATGTTCTAGCAGTTTTAATATTTAATCAATTTTGATCAAATATTAGTCATATAATAGTTAATGAAAAGCGTACAATTGATTCTTTTTTAACGAAATAAGCGTTATGATTCGTTGGACTTAAGTGACGTGTATGATCTAGTCTACTGTAGGTGTATGTACGACCCTGATAGGTATCGCTTATTGACTGTTAATGATCAAGATATTATGTAACTCTATGTAATTTATTGTTTTTGAACACATAATAATTAATTGTAGTTCAATTATCTTAAAGTGAAACATTTTTTAAGGAGAAAAATGTTACGTTTAAATTCTTTGTTTTTAGTAAAAAATTTAAAACTCAATACAGTTTATGGAAATCGGTTATATATTTATAAATTGATAAAATATAAAATTTATAATAATAAAGCAATATAAAAATAAGTTATTATATTAAATTGTTATCAGATAGTAACTGTTATGATAATTGGACTATAATTATTATATTTACGCCAAATTATACAATCAGTTATTGTTCCTACATAATCCACGGCTTGCCTTAAGAACCAAAGTTTTACAGGGCCAAATTTAATATAATTTTTCAAGCTTCACCAAAGCAAATATATTTTAAATAACAATTATTCCCAAAATGTATCGTCTATCGCATTAATTCTTATATTATATAAATCATTTTTTTTAAATGCAATGTTTCTATGTCTTCATAAAATTCCAAGTTCGTAAAGGCTGCCATTTAAAATGAATGCGTGTAGATAAGATTCGCAAATAAGTATTAATTCGGACAAATACGCATAGAAGTTTCTATATATGTGATAAATATAAATTATTAATAAATTCACGTATGTACAAATTTATCTAGCACTGAGTACTTGATGTTAAGGATATCTATCGATGTTCAGTATTTTTTATGAAATCTCGTAGGATCTGGTTTTGCGTACTTTAAAATTAACTGTATTTTGTCACGTGTTCGTTTATTGAATAAATATTATTATAAATATAAACACAAAAGTATTTTAAAAGTTAAAATAGACACGCTATATTTCATGCAAGCCCGCACTATACTCCCTTCGTTAGTTTTGACTGCAACGTTGGGAACAATAGGACATATTAATTTCAATGATACACAATAAATATTTACACACATACATATAATATACCTATAATCTATGATATGAGGGGTAGTTAAAGAATATCGAGCTTTTATACAAAAATATTACATATTTAATTAGCTTTTGAAATATTAAGACAATTAGAAGAATGAATCTCTTAGTACATTATATTTACATTAGTGTTATTTTTATCGATGGCTTATGCTTTAAACATTCCGACTTCGTATGCAGTTGCAATAAAGACAGACCAGACAAGAATTTCTTTTATTATATAAATAACATTAAGTTAAATTATTTATTGTATTTGTAATTAATAACATTTCATTCCAAACATACATTCCAATAACAAGATTAAGAAGAATCAGATCCTGCGATGTTATTTTGGTATATAAAATAATGAATACGGCTTACACTGTCATTATCCTCTATCTGATGGGACACCTCGTCAATGATACTACGATTCCGTCGATTGTTAAGAAGTTGAAGTGTAGCTAAACGTAGATAGTCCACGAAATAATGCTAAGCTTCCGCTTTCACGTAAACAACAGCTGATTCGATATTTTACTATAGCATTTAATGTGTGTTTTGTGTCAGCTGTAGATTACTACAGTGAATGAAGTATATTTTTGAAATAGTTAGGTAATAAATGATAGTTTGTATTCGATTGATATATGTCACCGTGTGTGTGTTACGCCTAAATCAAGCACAATGTTGAGGGTTCTTTTTTAGTATCGCAAACGTTAGTTGGTATGATATTTTGTCTTTGTATTTCTATATTTGATGTTTTTAAGCGTTTGTGTAAGATGGTCTATTCGAATAAATTTTTTTATTAGCTTGAAATATGCAGCGTATTATAAAAATATTGCGTACGTACAGACGATTTTGGCATTGTTCATTCGTTAACGAGTCTGGCATCGTTTGTTTAGTCGTATTTTTTGGCTCTGGCATTCTAATAGACAGTAAAACTTGTATAATGCAATTTGTATAATTAAACATCATTTATTTGGTTTTATAAATTGGTTGTGTGTATATGTTTTCTTTTAAATAATTAGTAAATTTATTGGAGTAGACCGAAATTTATGTTTGTTAAAATTAATTTTTGAGTGAGACTTATAGTAGGTATATTCGTCATCTAAATGTGTTGGGCTATTTACATAAACATATTTTTAAAAATATTAAAAGAAATATTTTTTTGGAATAACTTACGGCTTATTGCCACGTTATTATTGTTTTAAAAAATAATTATTTTTGAACTCTCTTCCAAATTTTTATACGTAAGTTTATTTTCAACTAACGCTTTTAGAGGACGATATTTCTAATATGATTTTATTGTCGTTATATAATTGTTCTTTTATTTCTATTGTGTACGTAGATTTAATTTTATAGATCTGCTTGCTGAATTCACATGACAATGCTAAGGCTGGCCCTTGTAAAGCTTCAGCAGCGTATTGTAAACGTGATTATTTATTAAATACATGGCAAAAATAATTGTTTAGTTTTAATTAATTTCTAATAATCATATCTTTCTAAGTATCGAAATCTACATAAATAAAAATGAAATGTTTTATTTAAAATGAAATACTGTTTGTTTTGGGAGGAAAAACATAAAATTTTCCCGGGAAATTAGGAAAGTCAGGGAAAAAAGTTATTTTTTTATTATTATTTTTTATACTCTTTTAAGATCATTAAAATTGAAACTGCGAAGACGACGTTTTTCATGTCAGCTAGTATTGAATAATAAAATAAATATATAAAAAATAAGAGATAATACATTGCTTTGCAAATTGCCTGTAAACAATGAACTTTTATTTTATTCGAGCTATAATTTATTTTGTTTATTGTAATCTGCTTTAAGATTATATTTATGGTAGTTTTATTACCATGTATAAAATTTCATTATTATTGATATCATTCCGTCTTCGAATAAAACTTTTTTATATCGTACTAGCGTTGCCCGCGGCTCCGCCCGCGTTCAGATGACCAAAAAGCAAATTCTTAGGTTTTACATAATATTATACTCTTACAATGCCGTTTTTTTATTTTATCTCAGAAATGAGATATTTTCCCGGGGTAAAAAGTATCCTATATGTTGACCCGGATAACCAGCTATTACCATACCAAATTTCATCAAAATCCCTCCACTGGTTTTTCTGTGATGCGGTAACAGACAGACAGACAAAAATTCTAAAAACTATAGATTCGGCCTCTGTATCGATAATAACGTTTATTTCAATAAGATTTTCCAAAAAATATTTAATGTACAGATTCGGGTTAGTTACAATTTTATTATATGTATAAATTTTAAAAATCTTTGAATGGTAATTTTCAACATTGAACCATTTTTACCGGGCCGGAGAATCCATTTAGACATACTTCCTGCTTTAATGCGCGTGGTCTTGTCTATCCCAATTGTGCTCAATGGAATCCTCATGGCTTGTAACCAGGCTTCCAGGCTGACCTACCAGGGAAGATTGTCTCCTCAGTAACAAAGTTAGGTGCCCCCAACCGTATATCTGAGGATATATGGTTTTAATAAAGTTATTTTCGCGTCCACATTATAGTCTAAACTCTAAAAGGTGGTTATTTTTACATGTGGTTCATTCTGTTATTATAGAGCCACCAGGAACGGCATAGGGTTTGTATGGCACACTTAGAGGCCCACCGAGGCAAGCCGTGTCCTAGTGGTGATTATTTATCAAAATGGTCTTTCTCCCAGGATGATAAGAGCCTCTTAACTTTATGCCCGGCTGGGTGTCGGAGATTACTGAGCCCGTCGACCACGAATAAAGTAAAGTCAGATTCGTGTATTTTTTGAATATAATAAATAAATGCAACATAAGTTGTAACTTAATTTTATATAATTATTATGTTAGTTTTATATTTCTTTATTTTATCAATATTTTAATACGTTTAAAATACAGAGGTTTAGTTAGTTAAAGTTATTAGTGTTTTTTAAGATGTAGGGTTTAATTCGTTTCGGGCTTACCGGCCCGTGTAATAACTTATCGCTACTGAGGAAGGACATCTATCATCGGAACGATATTTTTGGCCTTCACTTTTCCAAAATAAGTGTTGTGTTGCACTGGGCCATGTTCACAACCATTGTTTGTATTATAGAATTAAAATTTTGCTCATACCTTTTTTTAAAATATTGTAAACCTATACGTAGTAAGACTCGCAGTTAGTATATAACATGTATGTCTCCGACTGCAATACTATGTTCTTTCGTCAACTTGTTCTCATCTTTTTAGTTCGCCTTTTACGCAGTCGCGGTATTTTTATTTATTAGTCTGCGCCAAGTCGGCCAACCGACGGAAGGCAAAGCAAATATTAATTTTCTATATGTCTATTACAGTTAATGGTACGAAGGTGATGATATCTAAATGCATTG